CCATTACCTTTAAACCCTAGGTCATAAATCAGCCCAAGGTTCCACTCCTGAGCCCTATTTTCCCTATGGTACTGATCGAATCCAGGGCTTCTTAACCTTTTTTGCATCCTGGGCCCCTTTGGCAGTCTGAGGAAACCGATGAATCATGCTTGTTGCCTATATTCCTAATAGAAAGAAAAGCTAATTTTCAGTTAGCAGTAAGTGAAAACAAAGATGTAATTTTTCCCATCCTTGCTCGGGAATGCCCTGGAATCTATCCTCGAATCCTTGGGGGGGNTCGATGAATCATGCTTGTTACCTATATTCCTAATAGAAAGAAAAGCTAATTTTCAATTAGCAGTAAGTGAAAACAAAGACGTAATTTTTCCCATCCTTGCTCGGGAATGCCCTGGAATCTATCCTCGAATCCTTGGGGGGGAATCTATGGACCCCAGGCTAAGAACACCTGACTGAACTTACTCCCTCAGAAATCATCATTCCTAGTATTTCAACAAACTCTTCTGCATAGATGACTCTAAAACCTATATCCCTAGTTCTGTCTCTCTCCCAAGGTCTAGTCCTGCATTTCCAACTGCCTGTTGTTCAGTTTTATTTTATAAGACTCTCCTTCAAACATCCTCCTTTCCAGTTAAATTGGTCTCCTGGCTATTCCCAGGTCATATATAGCATTCCATCTTCTACCTCTGGAGCCTTTGCACAGACTGTGCCCTATGCCTAGAATGCTGTCCCTTCACACCTCCACCCTACAGAATCCCTAGTGTCCTTCAAAGCACAACTTAGTTGCCCTCTCCTTCCAGGAAGTCTTTCTTGATCCCTTTAGCTCTTAGCTATTCTATCCTTCTTAAAACTATTTCATGTATGTTTATCTGTGTACATGTATCTTCACCCCACCTTCCCTTCCACTACCACCTCTCCCTGCCTCCAGGCCCAGTTCCAGCATGAAATTTTTTTGGTTTGTCTTGATATACTCAAGGTCCAGCATATAATAGGATAGGATAGGGGCTGGACTTATAAATTGGGTTGGTACAGGGAACTCCAGGTGAGGAAACTCTCTCTACTAAAGCAGGTCTGTACCTTCTCTTCAATGTATAATCTTAGCCCTAAGTGAATTTTCCAAGGTCAGAGAGCCAGTATATTACCACCACTACTTCTACTATTAGTACTTCTACTACTACTACTACTACTACCACTACCACAACCACCACCCACCACCACAACCACCAGCACTACTACTACTGCTACCATCATGACTACTACTATCGCCACCACCACCACCACCACCACCACCACTATTACTACTACACTACTACTGCTACTATTATCACTGCAACTACTACTACTATTAATAATAATAATAATAATAACTAGCATTTAGATAGCATTTTAAGGTTTACAAAGTGCTTTGCAATTAATATTTAATTTGATCATGTGTCAGAGATGAGAGTTGAACCCAGATCTTCTAAGCCTGACTGTCTATTATACCATACTGCCTTTCTGTACATAGTAAACATTTAATAAATGTTTATCAAAGAGAATACTTTAAAGTATTTTTGGTTGGAAAATCCAATGATTTGCTTTATCAAGGGCTATCAGGTGCCACATAAGTCAGAATCAAGAGCGATTGTCTATCAAGGAATGATTGAGAACTACTCAGCTTTACATGCCTATATAGTTCACCGAATTGAAACTCAAAATATTTTTAGACCAAGACACCATTGGACATGATTTAATTCTTTGGGGCCTCCATATCCTTTACTGACTTTGGGTCACCACTATAGACATAAACAATTATCATTGCATTGGAAACATATGGAAGAAGTGGGAAGCCCTAGGAAATTCTAGATAACAGAATGTCGGATAACAGAAGGCTTCTATCCCAGACTCTCTATGGAGCCCTCCCATTTCAAAACTTGCCCTGGTTGTCAGGCTTTTGGAAACTCCACTATCTCCTCTGGGAAGAGGGAAGCAATGGGCTATTCTAGGTTGTTGGCAAAGTTGGAGACCTCTTGCAGAATGAAAGTTGGCTCCTGATGGGCTGAAAATATTGTCACTGGAGTGAGTGAGTGGAGTTTTCCCTGTGCCCCGGAGTTCAAGGAGATAGGCAGATGCTTATAAAATAAAATGCTCTGGGAGCATGCTTAGGAGGCAACAGGAATAAATACCGCCTGGTGAATTCGGGTGGACTCAGATACAATTCTCAGATCCCTACCCTTGGCCTCCCCTTTAGCTATGTTACATAGAGAATCAGTGGGGATATAAAGAATATCCCTTAGCTCTGGGACAGGGGAGCGAAGACCCAATTTTTCTCTTCCCAGGTCATTTGAATTGAGAGGACATTTCCAGAGCCTGAAAGTTACAACCTGGACACTAGAGTCAAACTGTGTTCACTGGGCCTGCTCAGGGAATAATGCTGATGATATTTCTTTATCTAGGACTTATTATTCATAGAATCACAGATCGTGAGCTTGAAGGGATCTTAGAGGTCATGCAGTTCAATCTCTTTATTTTACAGATGAGGAAACAGAGGCTCAGAAGTCACTTGCTCAAAGTCACACAGTCAGGAGCAGAGCCAGGATTTGGCAGAAGCCAAATCTTCTTGTGTCTAAATTTAGTTACTATTTCCTCTGCCCCACAGCTGCCTCCCATATTTATGCAGGAATTAGGGCCCCTTTCCCGTTGGGAGCCAGGCAGAGTGACAGCCCAGGTACGGACCCCTAGCAACCCCCTATTTTTGTAAGCACATTGACCTGTGCAGAAGAAGGCCTTCTGAGCAGACCCAGATCATAGCTGCCCTAAGGTGGCTTCCATGCAAAGGGAGGCACTCAGGGCAAACACACACCAGGCTTGATGACAAATTATGCTCCAAAATACCTGCATGCTGTCCAAGGTGGTCTGGAGCAAAGCAAAATCCCGACAAGACACAATAACAGAGAGACGAGATAAGGAAATGAAAAAACAAAACAAAACAATTCTCAATACATCTGGATCCTTTCTCCCCCTCTCTTCCCTTTCTCCCACTTTTAAAAAATAAAATTAAGACAATGGTCACATGTAAAAGCATGCACCAGGCCAACCATACTGGACGACATGAACAAACAAACAAACAATAAAACAAAACCCTGGCACAATGCCTCAATCTCAGCAAGCAGATTTAAACCAATACAAAATTTCAAACAAACAGGGCTCAGCACAGCTGGGGAAAGCAACAGAGAGTTTCCATCTCTAAGACTGTTGCAGATGGAGGCTGCCCGATGCAAGGTAGGGGAGTGGGGCAGCATTCAGGCAAGAGGAGCCCAGTGATTTTTCGGGGAGATAAATGGCCATTTGGAGGGTTCCTTATTTCCCCAGGTGCTGCTCCCGCCCCAGTCTCCCTTATAATTCATCATGGGCTTCCTACTAGGGATTCATTATCTAATAAGTGCTTAAAAATCAATTTTAATATGTAGGAGAGGAATGATGAAATCTGCTCCTGAGGGAGGAATAGATTTGGAAAGGCAACCTAACAGATAAGTTTTCATTAAAGGTTTCAGTGTTCCCTGGGGCTGAAAAAAAGGTCCCTCCGGAAAGAAGCAGCTGTATAAAGAGCCTAGAGATTAGAGATAGGGAGGACAAGTACACTTTGGCCTTTCTTAATGGAATTAGGCCACAGGGGAGTGTGGGCTTTTAGTAAAGATCACTGAATTCTGGAAGTCTAGACCTTTGATGAATTTATGTATGATGGCAGACCATTAAGGGCATGACCTTTGTCTTAAGCAGGTAGGAATCCCTGTACTCATTACTACCCATCCATTATGGATGAAGGAGCAGTGGAGATGGGGGTAGATGCTGTAGGTGTCCTACTCACTCCATCCTGGGCCTTGGAAACCAATAGGTCCTCAAAGGAGAGAATATAACCCACAGAAAGAGCTTGAACATTTGGAGAGAAAACTCACTAAAAGTTCTCCAAATGGTGCAGATGCATTTGTTATCACAAAAACAGTACCCCTAACAATATCCATGGAACCGTCTTTAAGAAGTTCCCAAAGAGCAGGGTACAGGTGTATTTAATCAGCTTGGAGCTATGAGTAGGTGCTTGGTAAATAGAGAACCACAGAATTTCAGAGTTGGAAGGGATTTGAGCAGCCATCTAGTTCAACTCATATCTCCCAAAGAATCCCAACTGCAACACAAAAGTGATCATCCTTTCCAAGAATTAGTGATTATCCTTTTATCACGACATGTTCCCCTCCCCCACTGGGGCCCTTGTTTGGCAACACTTATTTTGCAGATGGAGAACCAACTATGCTATCATAGTGACTGGAGAGCCAGTCATGGACTCAGGAAGCCCAGGGTTGAAAACTTGCTTCTAACCCATGCTAACTGCGTGACCTTGGGCAAGTTACTTAAACTCTCAGTGCCCCCAGGTACTTTCTAAGACTTTACATTTTATAGCAGTCGCCAATCTGCACTGGTAGAGGGACTTTCCTTACCTGCAAATACTCTCCACCAACAAAATCCCAGGTTTAGTTAAAAAGCTATATATTAGTGGGTGAGAAAAGATTGTTTTTCTTTCTGCTGACTATATGCCATGCAGCCTTTATATGGGAAAAGAGCTCTGAGATGATCTCTTAGAATCTCTTGGTTTGTCTTCCATTCCCCATTGAATACCAATGGAACCCTTTCCCTAATGGTTAGAATGTGTTGGGCTGCTCCTGCTCATTCTAGCCTGGGGTTCATTTTTTAAATTCACGGCTGTCCTCTTGTTCCAACTTTGTGATGGCCTTTTCAAGAATGGACAGACGTGTTTCTGCAGAGTTTTGGTGGCGTTTAAAAAGTGGTCCCTCCATTGAGGACATCTGCAGATCCAACTAGAGGCAATGAGTTTTTGCCTTCTCTCCCTAGATGAAATCAAAAGGGATTGGTGAATGTCTTGCTGTCCCCTACCCCCAGTGGTGGGAAAGGGGCTATACAGTATATATGGCATTGGAAACCAAGACCTTGAAAGAGCCCCATCCATGCACCGTTAAGTGACTCCAAAGGAGAGAAGAGCAGCGTGCTCACACTCACTCACCTCTAGCAGCTGCACTGCTCCTTCATGCTCCTTCTTGGCTTCAACCTGAGCCTTTTTGTGAGGGAAAGAAGAAGGAAGAAAACCAGTTAATTATTCGATATCATAGGATCCAAGACCTGGAGCTGGATGGGACATCTACTTCATCTCCTTATTATACAGGCCCAAGGAGATTGAGTGATTTGCCCAGTCACATAGATAGGAAAGGTCGGAGGCAGAATTTGAACCCAATGCTTTTGTCTCCACACCTAGTGCTCTGTTCTCTGTACCTCCCGGGAAGCGGTTTATTTTAAATGATAATCTTTGCATTGCTGTTGCTTGTTTTTCAGTTGTATCTGACTTTCCATGACCCCATTTGGAGTTTTCTTGGCAAAGATGCTGGCATGGTTTGCCATTTCCTTTTCTAGCTCATTTGACAGATGAGGAAACTGGGGCGGGGTTAAGTGACTTTACCAGGGTCATATGGCTAGTAAGTGTTGGAGGCTGGATTTGAACTCAGGAAGGTGAGTGTTCCTTACTCCAGGCCTGGGGCTCTATGCACTATGGTGCCACCTAGCTGTCCCAATCCTTTATATTAGGGGTTCTTAACTTTCGTTCACCATCTTCAGCTTTGCCTGGTTTCAACTACATAGAAGAAGATGGTGCCACACTGGATACTCCCTGTTGTTCCCCCAACCCCCATCAAGCTTTCTAGCTTCCTTTTATATGTTTTTTTCCCCCATTAAATTATAAGCTCCTTGAGGACAGGGATTGTCTTTTTCTTATTTGTATTCTCATTGCTTAACACAGTGCTTGGCACATAGTAGACACTTAATGAATGTTTATTGAATTAAACCAAATTGAACCTGGGGCCCATGAACTTTTTTTTTTAATATCTTGATAATTATTTTAATATAATTAATTTCCTTTAAATTTTTATATTTTATTGTGTTGTATTTCATGTATTTTAAAAAAACAAACAAATATGGGCAGCTAGGTGGCACAGTGAATAGAGCATCAGCCCTGGAGTCAGGAGGACCTGAGTTCAAATCCAGCCTCAGATACATAACACTCACTAGCTGTGTGACCCTGGGCAAGTCACGTAACACCAATTGCCTCACCAAAACAAAACAAGACAAAACAAAAAACCAAACGTCTTTCTGAGAAGAGGTCCATCTTTTTACTGGACTCCCCAAAGGCTCCATTACGTAAGAAAGGCCAAGAACCCTCACTTTACATTTGTATCTCACACCGCCCCCACAACCTGACCAGTAGCTAGTGCAAGAATGATCATACCCATTTGAGAGATGAGGAAATAAAAGTGCAGAGAACCTCATCTAGGATCGCACAGTTAATAGGGCTAGAGCTAAAGTTAGCAGTTCTACCCAAAAGGAAGTAGGGATTGCCTCTGGAGTTAGTGGAAGGACCCCCTCTTTCCTGGAGACTTTAAGCAAAAGCTGGATGACCTCTTCTCAGGCCTGATGCAGAAGGGAGCCATGTTCAGGGATGGGTTGGCCTTTGACCTTTCTTCCAGTTCAGATTCTGGAACTCTTTCTTTGCAGAAGAGAAAATGGCAGCTCCTATAGCTGAACTGACATGCCCTGGGTTGTGTGCCAAGAAAGCATGGACTTGAAAACAGGCCTGCTGACTCTACCACTCATTGCACCGCACCAAGCTGTCTCCTGACTTTATTTCTGCCTTCCTTAGATTCCTCCTGTATCACAGGACCTACCTGGATGCCATTATATCTTTCCAAGACCGATAGTTTTTTGTGCTGATTTTGTGACTCTTGGGGGGAATATGAGAGAGGAGGGAGTACCTGATGGAGAAGAGGGAAAGAGGGATTCAGTTGGGCCTGGGGGTGGGGGGAGAATGGAGGTATCTAGAATGGAAATCTAGAATGGAAGAAACACTCATGTCTGGTCTATTTGTTACTCCCTAGTCCATTTCCAGTGTCTTCAGCTGGATTGATAGAATGATAGGAACATAGATTTAGGGCTAGAAAGGACCTTGGAGGCTATCTAGCCCAACTCCCTCATTTTACTGATGAAGAAACTGAGGCCCAGAGAAGTTAGGTGACTTGCCCAAGGTCACACAGGAAGCAAATGGCAAAGCTGGGGTTTGAAATCTAGTCCTGTGACCCAAAGGTCCATCACTCTTCTCATTGTATTATATAGCTCCTAAATCCTTTCTGACTTATTAGAAAAACCACAAATCAACTCTACTCCCCAACAACCCACAATCCTTTTAAATCTCTGCAAGGATGCAGAGCCCCAGCTTCCAGAGTTCTAATGCAAACCATTGTGGGTTGGGTTTGGGAGCATGTAACTAAGGGCTTGTCAACTGGAGGATAGCTGGGTTAACTAGCCCAGCTGGTTTTCTCCAAATTCTCATGCCTTTGATGAAATCCTTCACCTTGTCTTTTGTGTACAGTGCTTGGAACATAGTAGGTGGTTAATAAATGTTTATTGATTGATACTTTCTATCTGTGTGACCTTGGTTAAGTCCCTTCACTTTTCTAGACTTCAGTTTCATCATTTTACACATGAAAGGTTGGAGTACTTGGCCTCTGAAGTCTGTTCCATCTCTCTCTCTCTCTCTCTCTCTCTCTCTCTCTCTCTCTCTCTCTCCCCTCCCCTCCCTCCCTCCCTATCTATCTATGTCTATATCTGTATAATCCTATGATCTTCCCAGCTAAAACAGCTCCCTCCATGTGATCAGGATCCATGTAACATTTTGGGCAGGTGAAGAGTAGCATTCTGCTTATTTTGTAGGTTGAAAAATTGAAATGCCTCATCCTCTTCTCTAGTTTATCACCGCCCCTTCCATTTATTCTGACCATGTGGTCTGAGAATACCTTTAGCAGAAGCCTTGTGACTGCTTCCAAGGAAGACTCAAAACATCCTTGCTCAGAGAGGATTATCTTGGAACACCACTGAGCACCAGCCCCTTGGATGTCCTCAGGGTTTAGAAAGAATTCATGAGCAAGATTGATTTTTACAGAGAGGATGCTGAGTCTTTGGCTGGATGTTTCCTTTCATGTGACTGAGGGATAATTAGTGATGGTTATAGCCAAGAAACTTAACAAATGAAAAGATAAGCTTGAATTTTGATGGTTTCCCATTTCAACTTGTAACATTCAACGAAAAGAATCCCAGCAACTCAAGGGGCCTCAAAGGCCATCAAGATTAACCCATCCCTGAACAAGACTCCTCTTTCCAGTACCCTCCACATTCGGAGATCCAGCTTTGGCTCAGAAACCTCCAGTAAGGAGTAGTCCATCATTGTCCCACTCGTGGATGATTCTCCTTGTTGGGAAACTGCCCTCAATCTGCCTTCTACTCTGGGTTCAAGAATAAAGTCATCCCAGAATTTGTGAGTTGCAGAAGACCTCAGTAGCCATACCTTTATACCATGCCTAACAAGCTTCTGCTCAAAGACCTTCAAATGGGGAGTAGCAGAGAATGCTTTATCTAGAGCCAGCCCATTCCCTCTGGCACCACTACCATTTATAGGAAGTTTTTCCTGACCTCAGACTTAATTTTGCCCTTAACATCTTTTACCATTGCTTCTGGAGCAAACGGGACCAAACTGAACACGTCTCCTCCCTTTTCCACAGGACAACTATTCAAATACTTTATGGCAATTATCAGTGATCGTCTATCAGGAGTCTTCTCTTCCCCAGGCAAACATCCCTTAGTTACTTTAATAGATTCTCATACAGCATGGAATGGAAGCACTAAGGTCAGGAACTCATCATAGCCACTACTTCCAAGAGCCCTGGTTCTAGAGTTAGAACTATGCTGCTTAGAACCTTGGTGTCTTGGTATATTAATTCACCTCTCTGAGTCTCAGTTTACCCATGTGTTGAGTAATAAGATGGATCAGATAATCTTTAAGGGATGCTAGAATTTTAAGGGGCCTAAGACTTTGGAAAGCACACCCATTCTCACTAGTGAGGAGGAGGAAGAGGAGAAGAAGAAGCTAATATTTATATAATGCTTACTATGTGTCAGGCACTATGCTAAGTGCTTTGAAATTATTATCTCATTGATTCTAACCCTAGGAGGTGCCATTTTATATTTTACAGATGAGGAAACTGAGGCAAAAAGAGGTTAAGTGACTTGCCCAAGGTCTTATAGCTAGTAAGAGTCTGAGCCTGGATTTAAACACAGGGCTTCCTGACTCTAGGGCCAGTTCTCTGTGCCCTATGGTATCACCTAGTGACCCCCTCTCTCTGAGATTATCGTCCATTTATGTTTCCTATGTCTTGTACAGATTTTTGTTTTGTTTTGTTTTTGCCAGGTGCTTCCCAAATTAGAGTGTAAGTTCCTTGAGGGGCGAGCTTTTATTTTTTGCTTTCTATCTACAATGCTTTACAGAGTGTCTGGTGCACAGTAAGTGCTCATTATTACTAGCTATTAATCAGTGCTTGTTGACAGACTGAAGGGGTTCAGGCTGTTCACAATGGGTGTGAATGGCTATTTCCCTGCACTATTTGTAGTAATAGAATTAATAGTATATCAGTAATAGAATTAGTAATAGTAATAGAATTAATAATAGTAATAGAATTAATGACTTCCCCACAAACTTCCTCCTTCACCCCTTCATCCCCACCCCCATGCTAAGCAAAGCTCTAAGGATCATGGGGTATAGAGTTAGAAGGGACCTCTGAAGCTTTCTAGTCTAACCTCCATATTTTACAGATGGAGAAACTGAGGTCCAGGAAAATTAAATGATTTGTAGGATAAGAAGATCACAGATTTAGAGCCAGGAGGGACTTCAGAAGCTGTCTAGTGTCTAGTCCAACAATCCTCACTTTATAGATGGAGAAATCCAGGCCCAGTAAAGCCGGATGACTTCATATAGAATCAAAGACCTAGAATCAGAAGGAATTCAGTCTAGACAGTCCAATCCTCTCATTTGACAGATGGGAAAACTGAAACCCAGAGAGAAATGACTTGCTCAAGGTCACACGGCTAGAAGCATAGTGAGGATTCAAACCCAGCTCCTTTGACTTCAAACCCACAGCTCATTACACTATAAGGGGAATCTTTTTTAACCAGCTTTTCTCC